TGCAGAATGTGATGCTGCATACGATCCGTGATGGACCGTTTTAAAGTTCAGATTATGGGGAGACAGTGCATGTCGCCCCGAACTGTCAAGGTTTAGCTTGGCCTCGCATCAGATAAAGGAGCATCGCCTTTGCAACTTTTGCAGCAGAAGGGGTCCAATCTAACAAAGGTCACAAGATGGATCGGCTAAACGAGGTTTCCGTTTTGTGAATACTGGGATCATCAGCAGTACTGCTCCACAACCCGTCTGAAATCCTCTCGCCCTGCACATCATGTGGCAACTGCAGACGGGAAAGTCCGGGGGAAAAAAACATGTTTTGGGCCTGAGGTTTCGACACAAAGGCTGCCAGCCAAGGCCGGAAAACGTATAATTGAGAAGACGCCTGGGGTTGTTGAAGAATGTTGATTCATGGAGCAGATTAATTAAGTAACTCCCCCCTGTGCATCCACGGCAGCCTGTGCTCTGTCCGCAGGAGCCACTGCGGTTGCAGCTGCCTCAGCCATGCCACACACTTACAGGCCACTCTTCTGGATTTCATGAAACGAACTACAAACGCTCCTAGAGCGACTAACAATCGTGCTCGCAAAACTTCACAGCGAAGTGCAGCAATGACATGAGAAAAAATGTGGGACGCTATCGGCCTTCAGAGCTTCCGAAACGAAGCGAATCTCCAACACAACAGCACCCGTGGCCTGCTGAACCATGAACTTGGCCAGCTTCTCCTTCTGCAACGCCTGCTTTTCCTCCTCGGTGCCGACCAAGCCGATGCAATAACGTGGCCTTGGTAAGGCACTTAAGTCACGTAAAGCTTGGAGCAAGGATTCGAAACGCAATGTTTGGCATGTGAGGTTTACTGGATTGTTAAGGCATCGCGTCTTGGTTTCGCCTTCACATTTCAGGCGGTACGAATATCGACACGGCGTCGCTCTATGACAGGTGCCTTTCAAGATATTTTGGGCAACCTGGCGAAGTTTCCGACTTCGTACTCACCACACATCCAACCAGAGCTGATGTTTAAGCACTACCAAACAACGACAAACAGTTGAGACGTATTGAAGCTCGGACCTGCGGAAGGGAAGGCAAGCCCAACACTCAAGAACTCAATGCACAACTTCCAGACAAGTCAGCCGTACTAGGCAATTAACCGAATATGCAATGTCTGGCTTGGATGCTTAATCCATATCCGAGGGGTGCTTCCGAGCAATATGTTAGCACTTGAAGCAAAGTTGCATGATGCTGGGCGGCTTCCTGAGTCGTTGAATGCAACACAACAATGCGCCACGGATGCGGCTAGCACCATGTCATGGGCCTCGTGTTGGCTTGCAACACATAGGAGCACTTAGCTGCGGAATGGGGGGAGAAATGCCACACTCCTCCTGACATCAATGCATATGCATATGCAGGCTGGCGGACATTTGGCAAACCCACCGTGACATATCAACTTTTCCGGGCAGAAAATCCCTACACCAGCAATACAAAAGTTTGAACTTGGGAAAGGTAGGTTCCTCCGGCTTCCCGCGGACTATAAACCTGTAGCCACTGTCAGACGAGAGTCTTCAAGTAGCCGTGTGCATCGTTGCCTCAGTGTGTAGGGCTCTTGAAGCCACTCGGGCTGAAACTTCAGGTTGCAAATTGCAAAGGCTTCAACAACGCGTCTTTACCGTGGCGACTACTACAACTAATTACGATGTTCATTCCTTCGACTGCTAAAATTACTGCTCCGGCTACAACCACTGCAGTATCATGGCGCGGACCACCACAGCTCCGCTCCTTTTCCTTGTGGTAAAAACGTATCAACGCCTCGGAATCGATAAATTGCAAAGAAACCGGCAAAAGAAGGGGAAGCAACAGTAGAGGCAACTAAAACAAAAAAACCCTTGTAACCGAACTCCCGACGCCAGCAGTAGCAGTAGCAGTAGCAGTAGCAGTAGCAGTAGCAGTAGCAGTAGCAGGAGCAGGAGCAGGAGCAGTAGCAGTAGCAGTCGCAGTCGCAGTCGCACTCGC